CAACTCCCAACATCATTTTCCAGTCTTGACCCTTTTCGTCTGCCCTCATTCCTCCCTCCCTGGGACTCACCTGACACTGGTAGGCAGGACTCATTCTGAACACACCAGCCAAATTCACCAGGCGCACGGGCCAGAGAAGCTGGAGTGCCACTGAACACCAGACAGGACTGGCAGTCAGACAGGAAGCGAGCAAGGCCCAAGCAACCAGTACTTCCACACTGCGACCAGAAAACAGAATTTGCACTTTAGCTATACCTAAACAAACAGTCTGAAAAGGAAAGGATTAGATTTCTGAAAATGTAGAAATGGATCCCCCCCCAAAAAAACCACAGGCATTGTTACAATTTTAAAAAAAAGTCTGAGAGAAGCGTTACCGGGTTAGTGGGCTGGTACTCTCGACAGCGGCCTTCACACCAGCTGCACTCTGGGTTCTTCAGGCACATATTTTCATCTACTGCCTCAGCACAAACAGCATCCTGATGATGAAACAAACAAACGCAACAATTTCATTATCATTAGATGCTCTTAGTCAACATAATTTTCAACCACTGAGATTCTTCCAGCCACAGACAGTCTTCCAAATACTATTGGTTTACAGCGCTTTCACTCACCCTGTCACCTTGGTCGCTACTGACAAAAAGGGGAACTTTGTAAGCCACAAGGTCTCCACGCGCAATGCCACTGTAACCTCCAGCAACCAGCAACACTCGTCCCTCCATCACTGCAGCAACATGTGAGTAACGCCCCCTCACAGCATCACCACCTTGGAAAAATATGAAAGCTCTGTGACCACTTCACATGCAGAGGTAACAATCACTAAGATGGATGGTGTTTAAAATGGACCTTAAATAAAAAAACAAATGTAAAACAACAACAACAAAAACTGCATGTGCCTTCGCATTTCAGAGTTCTGGCAAGAGGCTACCCACTCAGGAAAAAACTGAAGATGGTGAAAATAAAAAAAGTTGAAGTAAAAAGGAGAAGTAAAAATAAACTTGTGCATTTGTGCAACCTGCTCAGATCTCAAAC